TTTTGTTTGGAATTATTTCTTCAGAAAAATGATATATAGGGATGGAATTAATTAAGAAAATAATTTTTATTTTTTTGGGGAAAAATAATTTCAATTCACTATGATCCATATTAGAATATCACTTGTGAGTTGTCTCACATTATTTATACAGAGAAAATAGGCCTAACTTATAAGCCTAGTGGGTTATTCCTCCTACTACCAATTGGTTTTGGGATGGAATCTCACTATGGTGTATCCAGACTCACCCTCGTATGGTGCGCTTCATGTGCGTAGGATCGCACTTGTCACCCCCGTCTCTTTCACATCACAAGACCCAATTTAGGGTAGGTCTGCACATTCGGTCGAAAGCAAACCAAACCGACCGAATTTTCGGTTAACCGAAAATTCGATTTTTGCCCATTATTAAAATAAGAAACCGAACCTAAATCTACGGTCGGTTCGGTTTCGAACCAAAAATCCAACGGTTTTATCAATTCGGTTATCTGATAAAATAGAGAAATTGCAAAACTAAAATCAACAATTTGTGAACTACAATTTATAAAAATAACAATAGTTACTATTAATAATTTTACCAAAAAAAAAATGCATAAGAAAAAAAAAAAAAAGTTAACTTGTCTCAAAACGGTAACTGTGTGCAGTGCAGGGATCGCGGTATGAGCTCCGACGCCGACAGCATTGTGTGCCTCGTGCGGGAGATGAAGTCACAGATTCACGAACAAAGAGAGAAGTTGGGAGCCTGGGAGATGTTCTTGAAAATTACGGCTTTTGAATTTGTGTAAAGAGAGTGTCGTGGTGGCTGAGAGCTTACTTTATTCACCTACTCATTACATTAGTTAATTAATAGGTTTGACATTTCTTTTTTTTTTATTTACACAAGGAGGGCTTAGGAGTTGGGGTGGCCGGGTGGGTTGTTACAAAATTATGAATCATGAGGAATTTGCACCCCTTATTATTCTTAATATAAACACGGCAAAAAATTCATTTAAGTTGCGTTAGAAGCAAAAACAAACAATAAGGCAACTTGCCATTTACCTGTAAAATGTCTTCCCCTGCTTAGAAATATTATAAATCTAACTTAATTAATTAAAAGATTAGCTTAATTAACTACACGTGATTATAAAAGCAGGAAAAAAATATCCGTCAAATTTGAATTTAATTTTACTTTTTGATGTTATTATTCCTTTTACATACAATTAATATATATTCCTTATCATAAAAAGTGCCCACCAGCTTTTCCAAACGAACACAAGTGTGAACAAGTTTATAAAGTATATATAACAATGAGTTGTTGGTTGTTGACCAACAGAAAGAGAAAAGAAATTGAAGTCTTTGGGCTGCAATAGTGTTCCACGTAACTTGGGATGTAGTAGAATTAAAGAATTACCTGAAGCTAAATCCCTTAAAACAAAACCAAAATCATTCGAGGAAAGTGGATGGAGTCCACTTTTTTAGGTAACTTTCTCTTGAACCTATGTGCGTGGGAACCCTTCCCCACATAGAAGGAGGGGAAGTGAACAAACTTTTCGAAGCTAAGTGAAGTCAAAAGTATTGGCGAAGCGAAGTCCCGGTGTAATTGAGAAATTCCCTATCCCCAGGCCGGACATATAGAGCACTCCGCCCTTAACCTCATGTTCCAAAGTCATGGAAAGCTGAGATTGATCTCTTCCCGTCTCTTCTTTGACTTTAATGGTATTATCCTCCTATCTCTCAGATAGGATCTCTACAGGACTCTCTTACGTACAATGTAGCTACGCTGTCAAATCTTGTTTCTTGGTAAATAAATCACATATCTTCTAGAAGATTTTCGGAGGGTCAGAACCTCGAGCTCTGCTTGGCTCGTCTACATTGTTCGATTTTTGTTTCGATTCAGACCGACTATTCGGTTTTGGTCAGTTTGGCTCGGCTAACCGTATTTTGTGCACCCCACATTTGGGGGCCAGGCCAACTCATGAGCTCCCCATTCAAGTGATAATACAGCGTGGTAAAATTTGCATTTGCACTAGTATTGCTAATTGTGAGAAAATCATCATGATAACATGTAGTTTTGTGATAAAAAGTAAGAGTGTTCCAAATAAGGTAGTTTTTAGTTGAAAAAAACTAAGAGTGTTAATTATCATCATAACATGTAGTTTTTAGTTCCAAATAAGAGTGTTAATTACTAAATTATGACAAATATTATTTTGTCGTAGAGAGATTTTTAATAAAAAATTCTCAATATTAATGGTACATTAGTCATTAAGTTCTCCATAAGGAATAAAAAAAGTTATTGACCATAGCTTGTGAAAAAGTCAAAACAAGAACGTTCAATAATGAAAAACTGTCAATAGTATTTCTTTCCCCCCTATTTATGGTTGATTTTTGTCAATCAAATTCAGATTATTTCCGGTAGTACATTGTCTGGAATTCCAATATTTCTCAATTTCTTCAGCACTTCTCCCAGGTATTCTTCCAGCAATAAGGGACCACCTGACAAAGAATTAAATCTAAACACTTGTTAAACCCTTAATTACCATTTAAAAAACCTATTTCAATTTTTTATTTTCGCTTAATTATAAGCTAGCTTTATCAAATACTTTTCTTATATTAGCTAATTTTTTAGCCACCAGTATTAAATTATTAACTTTCAACTCGAAATTAACTTATAAACTACCAATTAACTTTACAATTATCAAACAAATAAAATAATAATAAGAATGATAATAATAATGTGGAAAGTAACAAATATGAGAAGTATGTAACATATGCCTTTTGCCAATCAAATTGTACATCCTGATGATTAGGGTCTCCTCATCTCCTGTAAACTCAACTTGCTTTGAGTCTTGAAGGATGTTTGGATTTTCAGCTGCTACAGTCCCTAATTACACATATGAAAAAAATAAAAAAATGAAATAAAAAATAAAAACATTTGTTTAGTATGTGATGAATGTGTATTTGCACATACATACACATATCAAATAATTTTTATATAGTGTATATACATAAAAATTTATTGATAAGTTTGTTTTTTAAAA